ATGATAACATTTGAATTAAGATTGATGCTAGATGATAACATTTGAATTAAGATTGATGCTAGATGATAACATTTGAATTAAGATTGATTCTAGATGATAACATTTGAATTAAGATTGATGCTAGATGTTAACATTTGAATTAAGATTCATCAATCTTAATTCAAATGTTAACATCTAGCATCAATCTTAATTCAAATGTTATCATCTAGCATCAATCTTAATTCAAATGTTAACATCTAGCATCAATCTTAATTCAAAGGTTATCATCTAGCATCAATCTTAATTCAAATGTTAACATCTAACATCTATCATTGTTAAGATTATGGAAGAACATAATTTCCTTTTTCAGGTTTGGTAATGAAAAACTTACAGGACGTTGGCTTCACTACTTGATGTTTATGTCTATGAATTATAAAGTAGCCAGTTTTAACTGAACTGGTTACTTCTTTGGGGGATGGAACCACAAGACCTGACATTCATATGAATTATAAAGTAGCCAGTTTTAACTGAACTGGTTACTTCTTTGGGGGATGGAACTGCAAGACCTCACATTCATATGAACATTAGCATTTTCCTAAATTGAAAATTTATTCCCAATAATACTTACCTCCTCTGACACAGCTATTCCTTGACCTTAACTTTGCACATCTAAGCACAGCCTCAGAACCCCCAGGGAAAAACACCCTTGGCTGAATATATTATGCCTACATTGTACAATGGATCAAATCACGGACAGCCTCCCAACTGAGAGTGCCCCCCCCCCAAACTGTAGAGAGACACCAGATAACAGAGGAGGAATAGAAGAGGTCTGATTAGTCTCCATGTTTACAAAAGTAACACGGGAGTTCATGCCCCAAAAACAGCATATCAATCTTTTTTTTTAGGAAAGAATAATTGTATGGAAAATAACAAGGCGACACCAAAATCACAATCCAGAATGTAACAAAGCACAGCTCTTCGTCAGACAAAATTGTGAACAAAAGCTTTGTCGAGAAAAAAGTGGTTACATTATCTGATTGAGGTGCTTATATACTGTACCAAGATAGAGGGTGCATTGACGTAAGCAGATAGTATCACAAGGCCAAAAATTGCCAAGGGCATTTAACTGGGGTATAAAAGATCGGAGTAAGCAAGACCAATGCTTAGATGGTCGAGAAATAGCTACGTGTCAGTGGATGGTAAGTATATTTTGGCATTTAAACTCTTTAGAAAATATGTCACTAAACTAGAAATATTTATACATTAAACTTACGTGTGTTAATTGAAGTAGTCAACTCTTCTGTGGATGGAATAATCAAAGAAGCAAACGAGACTGGTAAAAGTCTTACTGTCTCCCATCTGTTATGGCTCACTCTTCTTATCTGGACTAGCTATAGGAAAATGACATCAACACATACATTGTATGTTATCTATTGTGTTTTTAAGAACATACCAGATCAATCTGGAAACAAGGCCTAATATAATTTTAAGTTAGATAATATAAGAAATGCTATCTAAGGTTAAGAATCATAGTTTAAAACACAATGCATTAAATAAAGTAGGATATACCAGTTTATATATATGTATATCTATATATATATATATATATAGAGAGAGATTTTTTAAAATCTTTAATGGAAGAAGGTTCTCAGCATCCTGATTTGAAAGAGGAGTAGCATATGTAGTTCATTAGAACAATACATAACCATCATGAAAAATCAAACACAACTTGTTTTGAAACTTTATACATGTATTCCTGTGTGTTTAAAATCAAAGAAAATTATAATAAACTACATAGTACCTGGTCATTCAAGGGCATTACTAGAATACCACCAACTTTAAGAAGATTTTTGGTGTGACCTTCATACTCTGTTGGACAGGAAGCTCCACAGTACACTCTGTCGTATTTATACACATCAGCAGACAGTTGCAAACAGTTACCTAACACAAAGTGTGGTTCACACAGTTCAAACTCATCTAAGGCCAGAGAATTCTGCTTAAATTTCTGAAGTTTCTTTCTGGAATACTCTAGAACATCCTCATGAATTTCAATTCCATGGTTAACACCATAGGGACCTACAACAGAACAGTTTCATAAAATATACTCTGGATGCTTTTCAAACTTAAATAATCTTTAAATTATGATCAGCATTGAACTTTTGATCGTTTTCATACAATAGTTTTTAAAACTCTCTACCAAACTGATTACATGAAACATTTTTATCTTCATGTACATTCTTTCATAATACATACATCAGATTGAATATCACATAGTAAGAACAATCTTACTGTTTTAGCACCTCCTGTATCTAAGCACTTCTGCCCATCAAGATGAACATACAAAATGTAACAGAAACTTACCAAGTTCACATAACTTTAACTCAGAGTCCACAAAAAACTTAATACAAACATATTGTTCGTACACATTTGCTTAATTTAATTGCTCATTAACAAGTTAACTGAAGAATTTTGAACATTAATAAGTGGGCATACTGTCTTGATGTCCATAGATTCTTTGATGTTCAATTTTGTTCGATTAGAAGCAGAAATAGAAATGTTATATGTTTTTTTGATGGGGAATATCACACTCATTTTGAACAGATGAGTTGTTATACAGAATAGCAGATGAGTGATCGTTAAATATTTTGAATGTCAGGTCTTGTGGTTCCATCCCCCAAAGAAGTAACCAGTTCAGTTAAAACTGGCTACTTTATAATTCATATGAGTGTTAGGTCTTGTGGTTCATCCCCAACAGAGGTGACTAATCCAGGTGAAACAGGTTAGTTTAAAATTTATTTGAATGTCAGGTATTGTGGTTCCATACTCTGTAAACTTTAAACTAACCAGTTTCACCTGGATTAATCACCTCTGTAGGGGATGGAACCACAAGACCTGACATTCAAATAAACTTTAAACTAACCAGTTTCACCTGGATTAGTCACCTCTGTTGGGGATGAAACCAAAAGGCCTAACACTCATATGAATTTTAAACCACTTATTTTCAACTGGATTAGTCACCTCTTATACATTTTGTTTTGTTAATGTCAGTATTCCATCATATACGACACTCAAGTTATAGGTGAATCTACCTATGTTTTAACTTATGTAGTCAGCTGTTTCGAAGATGAAATCACTAAATCAGATATTTCATATCAACTTTAAATTTATTGGTTTTAACCCAAGTAATACGCTTTTCTGGTTTATAATATCAATTTTAAACTTGTTAGTGTTAACTGAGGAAGTAGGTTTTTTGGGAGAAATATAACAAAACCAGCATGCATAAATAATATAATTGTAATAAATAACATCTTAAAAATTTCTTTAACCCTTTTCACACGGGTCATGGGTCAAAGGTCATATCATCACATTTGTTGATTTTATTGAACTATTACTTTATGAATTTATGTCAATAAGTTTGGTATCAAACTGTAGATTATAATTGAAATTTTAGTATTATACATTATTTAATTTCTTAATTTAAAAGTATATGAATATATAAAACCTTCAAAAAATTATTTTGTTTTACATCCTCCATGTGCAAAATTTTGTAAGGCTTAGCAGGCAGCAGCTTGAGTACAAAGGTCGTAACTAAAAGAGATAAATGTTTGTTTTACTTCTTTATTTACTGTTTTATGTTTGATTTACTTCTATATTTACTTTTCTGTGTTTTAAGAAAAATAAGTTAAGAAAAAAATTGGCAGGAATATATATTTTCATACACCCAACACACACAAAAAAATATTGGATTTGCCCTTTTTAGAGGGATTAAAATTCACACAAAAAAAGGATAATAATTTTGTGGTTTCCGGCCATATTTTGACCCAATTATATGGGATTTGGGGCAAAGATGCTTTCTACAGGTCCCACACAATGAAAAACAAAAAGAGGGGACTTGCCCATTTTTAGTAATTATAGGGGGATCAAGATGCCACAAAAAGCATAATTTTAGGTTTTTTTGACGAATACCCCCACCATATTTCACCAATTTACATGGGATTTTGTATAAAGATACCTTCTTGCAGGTCCCAGCATTGATATAGACAGTTTTCAATTTTTTCATGATTTTTCTGGTGTCAAAATTGATTATGTTGGTACTGGATGGTGGAGACACGTTGCCCGTTAAGTTTGGCTTCTTTAATTGCAATATTTTTTCAATGTGTCTTATTTATAAAACAAATAAGTTCTGTTCATAGTTAAAATTTACCGAACTCTGAGTAACATTAATTATACTTGAACGACTGTTTAGGTAAGATTTCCACGGCAAACATGATCGCAATATTACATTTAATCATCAAGTTGGATCCTCTTAATACTCTCAAAACCAGTTTATGCTTTTCATAGTGAAACACTGACAGTTTTCTATCAGATTACCACCTTCAAACAAACATTAATTCTTGATTTAATGATGTTCTATGCTTTAGTTTTCAAGTAAAATTCTGTTTCCATAGACGAAATAGTTTTTCTTATTTCTTTGTTTCCTTCACAGATCTGATCACTTTCCACTGATGATCATCGCTATAATATTTGTAGTTTAATTACACAGATTAATGTGGTTCATTGTAAAATACAGGTAGATAAAATGCTGACATCATCATCATGGAGGTGAGCCGTATATATTAGTTCTTTTCAGGACTTCTATATATATTTTTCCATTTTGATATGTTACATAAATTGGTCATAATGAGTTTAGATAATTTCATTAACATTATTATAAAAATAAAATAATATTATTTCAATCAAGTGCAGTAACTGGTTTCGTGATGCTAATATAATAAATTTTTGTTATGTAATTTTATTAAATATAACTTTTTGTGTACTACAGGAATAACCATAAGAATATATATATATATGCACAAATTTACAAGGAGTATAGTTTTCCCTATAAAACATTAATATCACTTCAAGCAAAAGAGTTATAGACTAGCGTCATCAATCACTGATTCACACTTTTTACCACATGTGACACATGCTACATTCATTTCACTTCCTTTCTCTATCAATAGCATCAAAATAGCAGAGAAAAGAAAATATCCGAGAACATTTAAATAACTGTTTTAAGCAAATCTAGATTTATTACGTTAATTAACTAAATCAGCATTTTTTTTACGTTTAACTTTTAGAAGGTTAATGAAAATATAATTTATCAAAGGCAGAGATGACTCACCAATATTTATTTAAAACTCAGAAAGGCCTGTGATAGTTCAAGAAAGATTTTAGTGTAAATGGAAGAGGCAAAGCAATAATTTTTTCTCGCATGAACTGGGTATAGCTTCCGGCAAGTTCATCTCGAGTAGTTGGGGTTTTCTTATCACCACTGTCTGAGTCACTGAGGTGATCAGTTGGAACTACTTTCTTCCAAAGTCGCTGGGAAATAGTTCTTGCACACCTCTGACCTTCCTGCCTTCCTGGATGGAGAAGTCTTCTTGCTTGATGTTGCTCTTTATCATACGCTTCTTCTGCTCCTCTCTTTTTGTCTCTGTGAGCAACCAAGTCTTCATAAGAAAAACGACGGCGTAAAGCAGATGAAGATCCAGTCTCTGTGTTAGAATCTAAGAGAGTTTCCTCCTGGTTGTCAACTGTATTAAACTGTACTTCCTTGCTTATGATGTTATTATCATTGTCTACTTCTTGTTCATCCACTGGTTCTTTGGCTTCTATATTTGAAAGTGATACTGAGACCACAGTATCTGCAACATAACCACCCTCTTCACTTGTTTCTCTATCACTTGCTGCAAGATGGTTCTCTGTCTCTCTAGTGACCTGTTCTATTACAGCTGACATATGGCTGGCTACACGTGGCGGGCTAGACCTGAAGATCGGTTCCATTAACTGGTTATCACAACGTCCTCTGTGACCTCCTTCACCATCACTTTCATCAGATAATGGAATGGCACGTTGTTTCTGCTTCCGTCTTTTCTTACTATGTTTTATTTTCTCTTTCAATTTCGGACGTTCAAGATCAATTTTTTGCCTCAACAATTCTCTAACTACTGAGCGGCAAATATCTTGTAGACTCAGTGGATGGACTTCGGCTGCAAAGTTAATTATTAGAAGTTATAATTTTGCTATACTGAAAACACATTTCCAATAGGTAGTTATTTGCTCTCACATATATATAGATATTCTCATTCAGTGCTGCCCTCTATATTCAAAAATTGTTTTTGCATGCCACAAGCCTTGAGCTCCCACACAACTTACAGTTAAATGGTTCGACTGCATCTTGCATGTAAATCATCATGCAACACACTCTCCTGATACATGTGACTCCCTCTATTCAATTCTACCAAACTATCACCTCAAGTTTTGGCAGAAATTGGAAGCACCAGTTTTCAGTGGAGAGGAAGGGTGGGAAGTGTAAGTACCTATCAGAAATATATTTCCAGTATAGCAAAATTATAACTTCCAATACAGTACATTACCTCCTCACACATAAATAGCTAGAATCCCACATTGAATAGGTGGAGGAACTGGTGCGAGGGAAAGAAAGAAGAATCCTTCAAAAGCATCTTAAGAACCCCCCAAAAGAGTAGATCCTCACATTGTAGGATCATACATGGGAAACTGCACCATTTCTGTATTAGGTATGCTCTTCGCCCTGTGTGGAAAAGAGGTGTCACAGACATAGGTGGAAAATGGGAGGAGCACATCCAAACGAGAGAGAACAATGGTTGAATAGGAATCCGAACTACAATATACTGGAATCTGAATCCCATACAGTAGATTACTGTAGGTGAGAGTAAAAGGATGTCTCCTCGGTGTAGAGTGGCTAGGGCAGGGAATCAACATTCACACAGAGGTAAGATGAGGATCATACTATTGGTATGTCAATGACAATTCAAAATCCAGCCCTGGGAAACAACATCCATGAGGGGATAGGAAAGAGGATCATATTATTTTCACCTCAAGTTCAACAGAACGGAGGGAATCTCGTACCCCCCCCCCCCCCATTCTGTGAATGGAACACATGAGAGTAATGTGATAAATTGTTTGACTGATCCGGGAACCCAACATCTGAACAAATAATAACAGCATAATAAAGATGTCTCTGTAATGGAAACTAACCAATTCAAAACAGG